AAGATTTCATTCTAGTATCAAACTATTTTGATTATTGTAGCTTTGTAGTAAGTTTTGAAATCAGGAAGTTTTAGTCTTCCATTTTTGCTCTTCTTTTTCAAGATTATTTTGGCTATTCAGGGTCCCTTGAGAATCCATATGAATTTTAGGATGGGTTTTTCCATGTCTGCAAAAAAAGTCATTGCAATTTTTATAGGGATTGCATTGAATCTGTAGATCACTTTGGGTAGTATTGACAACAATATTGAGTCTTCCAATTCATGTACACAGGATGTCTGTCCATTTATTTCTGTCTTCTTTAATTTCCTTCTGCAACATTTTATATTTTTTATTGTACAAGTCTTTTACCTCCTTGGTTGTGTTATTCTTAAGTATTGTATTCTTTTGATGCTATTGTAAATGAAATTGTTTTCTTAATTTCCCTTTTGGCTTGTTCATTGTTAGTATATAGAAATGCAACTGATTTTTGTGTGTTGACTTTGTATCCTGATACTTAACTGAATATATTTATTAGTTCTAACAATTTTTTTGGTGAAATCTTTAATGTTTTCTACATATAAGATCATATCATCTACAAACAGAAATAATTTTACTTCTTCATTTCCAATTTGGATGACTTTTATTTCTTTTCTTGCCTAATTGTTCTGGCTAGAACTTCTAGTACTATGTTGAGTAGAAGTGACAAAAGCAGGTATCCTTGCCTTTTTCCTGATCTTAGTGGAAAAACTTTCAGTCTTTCACCATTGAGTATGATGTTCATTATGGGTTTTTCGTATATGGATTTATTATGTTAAAGTAGTTTGCTTCTATTCCTAATTTGTTGAGTTTTTATCACGAAAGGGTCAAATACAATTTTAGGAATTTAAGACAATAGGTATTGAAATAAAAACCCAAGAGACGGTTTAAAGAGTAAACTAGACATAGTTGAAGAGAGAATTAGTAAATTGGTGGAGCGAATTGAATAAATCACCCAGGATTCAGGAAATAAACAGTAAGTGTAAAATAGAGGCTAAGCGATATGGATGCTTCATATTTCTAATGGGAGTTTTAGTAGGAATAATGAGAGAAAGTGGTGGAGAGTCAACATTTTTGAGATGCTGGTTGAACATTTTTCAGAATTAACATTAATCCTCAGATTAAAGAAGCACACTATATCTCAAGGAGGAAAAATAAAGAAAACACACACACACACACACACACACACACACACACACATCAAGGTGGAAAGACAGAACCCAAAACAAAGGGAATGTCTTAAAAGGCATTGGAGAAAAGACAGATTTCTAACAAAATTATGTCAAGCAGGCTGACAGGACTTTTTAGCAGTATACAAATGACAGAAGACTATGAAAAAATGTCGTTAATAATTATCAACGTAGGGGCTGACCCTGTGGCTGTGTGGTTAAGTTCCCACGCTCTGCTGCAGGGGCCCAGGGTTTCACCGGTTCAAATCCTGGGTGCAGACATGGCACCACTCAACAGGCCATGCTGAGGCGGTGTCCCACATGCCACAACTAGAAGCACCCGCAACTAAAAATACACAACTATGTACTGGGGGGATTTGGGGAGAAAAAGGAAAAATAAAATCTTAAAAAAAAATGTGGTCTGCAGACGACTTGCATGAGGTCATAAGGGGAGTTTGAAAAAGTGCAAATTTCTAGGCCCCAATCTAAGATTCTAAATAAGTTTGGGATGAGGACCAGACAATCTGTATTTTTTTTTTTTTTTGAGGAAGTTTAGCCTTCAGCTAACTGTTGCCAATCCTCCTCTTTTTGCTGAGGAAGACTGGCCCTGAGCTAACATCCATGCCCACCTTCCTCTACTTTATATGTGGGATGCCTGCCACAGCATGGCTTGCCAAGCTGTGCCATGTCCTCACCGGGGATCTGAACCAGTGAACCCTGGGCCACCAAAGTGGAACGTGCACACTTAACTGCCGTGCCACCGGCCGGCCCTGTATTTTTTTTCAGCAAACTTATTTGGCCTCTCTTGAGAACCATTGTGTCTAGAAAGTCTTCCAGAAGCGTTCAGTAGAAATAAGTTGTTTGGGAGAACACTTCAGCTAAGCCTTCTGGTCTTCAAGTTGGCATGCCCGAGGCTCAGGCTGATTCTTTCTCTTCTTGACAACACAGGGACTAGCTTGAAAAACTGAATGAATGAAGAGGTTTTGGCCTGATCTACATACATCTCCTTTTAGCAGCACAAACTATTTGTCAAAATGCTTAAAACCATACCCAAAATCTGCGCATCGTGCTCTGTCTGGAAGGATATAGAGAAGCAGGCCAGGCCTGATAGCTCACATGGGGAATAGAGACTCTGAATCAACGGTTGCTAGGCCCAGAGCGGGGAAGAATAGCTACTAGCCCGACTCGTGCGCAGGCGCAGAAGGAGGCGGGACAATCAAACTGCCAAGGCGCGCCCTTCCCCCTCCCCTCTTTCCGGCCGTCTCCACCGCGCAGGCGCAGAGTGTGAACCAAGATGGCGGCGCCCGTGGATCTGGAGTTGAAGAAGGTAAAAGAGCGTCTTGAGCAGGCAGTGGCTTCTTTTTGGAAGCTAAGGGGACTTTAGACAAGAATGTAGAGTGAGGCTCGAGTCCTGCGGAAGGAAAGAGGCCCCAGGGAATTGGGGAATGATTTCCAGGAGTCCTAAGGTGGGACCGGGCCTCCTTAGGCTGGAGTAGGGGGCGGGCGGCTTTAGCTGGATAAGAGCCGGTTGGGCTGGGTCTGGGTAAGTCTGGCAGGCCGATGGCTGGCCTGTACCCTCGTTCCGCGCTTTATAGCCGTTTCCTTGCACTCGGAGCCATCAGTTCCATAGTAAGGCCTGAAGTGAGCGTTTCAATTTGGAGCCCTTTCGGACGACTTGCCCTAGCCAAGCCATTTGTAATTCTGCATCCTTATCTGCTCTGCAAAACTCCCAAGTCCAACCTTGTGTGTTTTAGGCCACTTATTTGATCCCATCTTGAAAGGTCTCAGTATATACATACATTTGAGAATCAGATATTCTCATAGCAATGTTCATCTCAGGGCTTCGGCTCCCGACCCCTTCCCACCTTTTTTGAAGAACTTGTGAAATAAACAAGTCCAGTAATGTTTTCCAAATAAAATCGATATTTGAAGGAATTGGGTTTCTCTCTTCAAACAATTGCTTATTAACGTGTTGTTACTTAGAAACATTTTTTGCCACCTGAGAGTTGTCAGGATTTTAACACCACTAACGACCCCAAGCCATACCTTTGTTTGGGGGGTTCGGGGGCACGGGGATTGAAAGGATACTAGACTTCATCTACTTGAAACCTATACTTTTCTGGAAAAAGAAACTGAATATCAGAAAAAACTCTGAGGTTAGGACTAGAATCCAGCATTCTCTGCCTTACTCCACACGTTTTGACCATTCAGTTTTTTCAGAAAAGCAGATTTTACTAAAGACTGTTTTCTGGTCAACCTTTGCATAAGAAATAGGACAGCTGAAATAGCTGTTGCTCCTAAAAATGAAGATGTTTGTTATTGCTCTGAGGAGTTACGTGTATGTGCCTTGCTTTTTGTCATTCTTGTTTCGAAACTTGTAACTTTAGCCCTTATGTGATGATCTCTAATGCTGTAATATCTCAGCTTTAACAATATAGTAGCTTCCTTAGCAAACTGTGAACAGAACAGTCAGGCAATACCTGTAATTTTACATGCAAAACAAAATTCATTTTAAGAATGCTTGAAGCATTCTAGAAGTTTACCTTTTATTTCTGTTAAAATTTAAAAATTTAAGTCAGGGGTTAGTGAAAGAGCTGACAATAGAGTACAGCTGTGAATATGCTTACCTCCCAGTATTGTTTGAATTTGTTGCTAAGAAATCTGTGGGCAAACAATGCAAACTAAAAAAATGATTACAAACTTAAGTTGGATATATTGACAACCAGTTAAATTAACTATAAAAGAAACTTGTCGTTTAAAGGTTTTATCTTCTAATATCTTTATAAGGTTTGTTTTTTTCCTGGGAGGGAGTGGAGACTAATAGGAAGTTTCAGGTACCTCCTCTCTCCTCAAACTCATAAATGTTTTGAAACTGCACTATTAGGTTAGAACAAAGTCAATAAAAGTTAAGTAGTAGCTTTTGCCATATATTGCAGTCACAAATGTTATTAGAAAGGCATAAATTTGACAGCAGGTGAAAGTCATTCCAGGCACTTGAACAAGAATATCGAAGAACTGTGTTTGTCTTTGAGTTAAGTGTACACAAGGGTCAAATTTGGCTTGGTATGTGCATATGAAGTTCATAATAAATTTTACCAATGCCTTGAAATTTTTTTCTCGTTTTTGTCTTTCTCTTACAAATACTCATATTCTGAATATTACTGTAGACAGAACAGAAAGATTTCTCAACTAGGAGTGAGAAGAAATGGATTTAAGTACTGTACCTGCCTTTCTACCTAATAGTTCTTAACCCTGTGCAAGCCACTCATATCTGTTTAACACAGTCAGTTACTTAATTTGTAAACTACGATGATGAAACTACCATCCCTAACTCGTAAGATTGTTGAGAGGAGTAAATGAGATTTTTTATTATATCCATTAATGTTCTCATGTTAATATTGCCATTTTAATATTTCGAACAAATGTGGGAAAGTGCTTTGAAACCTAGTCGTGTAATACAAATGTAGCAAGTTACTACATTTATGGTTCTTGTTTTGGGTCTCTGGGTTTCATCCTCTGGCTGTTGCCTTTATTACTTTGATTATTCCTTGGGTAGCTGCTACTTGGTATAGTTATTATTTAATGAGCATTTGTTTTGCTGCTTCAAATAGATTGCTTCTTCAGAGGACAGGCTAAATTCTGTATTTAGCATAGTGGCTTGATCACTTGATATAATTGTATTGTCTTGGTGTTTGCTCTGGTAAATTTCACATCTTTGTCTCTGATTAGCATGCTTTATTTTAATATATTTGCATTTGACTTAAATGTTTCCTGTAAAATGTTTCGCATACTAAATCAAGGACTTGTTTTTATTAGGCTTTTACAGAGCTTCAAGCCAAAGTTATTGACACTCAGCAGAAGGTGAAGCTTGCAGACATACAGATTGAACAGCTAAACAGAACGAAAAAGCATGCACATCTTACAGATACAGAGATTATGACTTTGGTAGATGAGACTAACATGTATGAAGGTGTAGGAAGAATGTAAGTAAAATATATCCTTAAGGGGATTATCTTGGGAGAGGTTTCGTCTGAATTAAATCATAGAATTTGTTCATTTTAAACTTGGGGTGAAGTATCATAGTAGCTTTAAAGATCATCTAGTCAAATACTTTCTTTTTTTAAAAATGGGAAACTGAACCTCAGGTAGATGTGTTTAATTTTAGACTTTGAAGTACATTTCTTAAATATTTCCCTGTTCTCTCTACGATTAAGTAGTTAAGTATGTAACTTCAATGATAATATGATTTGTCATGAAAAGATGTTTATAGTAATTTTGTGTGTGAAGATTTAAGTAGTTGTAGTTCTAACCTCCCTCCCCTATCTAATTTATTAGAGTCATACAATTCATAAATCTTTTAGATGTCTGACTAATGTTGTAAAATAAAAATAGGGACCAGCTCGTGGCATAGTGGTTAAGTCCACACACTCTGCTTCCTTGGCCTGGAGTTCGCAGGTTCAGATCCCAGGTATGGACCTACACACCGCTCATCAAGCCATGCTGTGCTGGCATCCCACATAGAAAATAGAGGAAGATGGGCACAGATGTTAGCTCAGGGACAGTCTTCCTCACTGAGAAAAAAACAAGTAAAATAAAAATAAAAATTCAGTTATGTAAATATGCTTGTTCCAACTGTAACACATGAGAAACCGAGTAAACCAATTTACCTTTTGTTTGTTCTAATTGTTATCTGATTAACCACCTACACTTCACTTTTTTTCTTTTAAAAATAGATTATCTTTATGCAAGAGAATAGATCTGCTTCATGTTCTTTAAGCAGTAAATAAGGAATGGCAAAGCTCTTAACTACAGGTCACATTCCATTACACTGAGCTAAAAGAAGACTGATTTTTTTTTTTTTTTTAAGTGGGGGGTGGTACAGGAGGAGGGTTTTTCTGGAATTTGGTCTTTGAATATTACTTAGTAAGTGGACCATTACTTCAAGTCTGGAGATCTTTTAGTTAGAATGGAATTTGACCTCAGTCTTAGGATGACTTGTTTTGTGATTGATTTGAAGGAAGCATAACATGTGTAACATTTAGTAATGGCTTTGGGATGACATCATGAGAAGTAGACCCTGCTCATGACTAGCTAATCCATATCTTTCTGGAAAAGAGATAGATTATGATCTGATTTCCTTTCTCAGAAACAATATACCACAAATACATTTTGTCTCTGGAGTTCGTATTTTTCATTTTAGCTTGTTTTAAGAGAAACAGAATCCCAATTTGAGAATTTGTTACCGAGACACAAAAGAATTGGGATAAGAACGAAGTAGAATCCTTGAGTATGTGTCTATATAGTACCAAGTGCATTGTTGGCATTCACTACTGGGTAATTTTATCCTTAATGTGAGTATCCTTAGGTCTTAAAATGGTAATACTAGCTTTTCTAGCATGCTTGTAAACATGTTGCATTTGGATTTAACATCACTACATTAGCCTTTGCTTGCGATAGCTAAAGACTCTCTTTTTCCAAAATAGAAAGACTCTTTGAATATCTTTGACCTTTTGAGCTACAATGAAGTTTTTATTTTATTATTTATTTATTTATTTATTTATTGAGGAAGATTAGCCCTGAGCTAACTGCTGCCAATCCTCCCCTTCTTGCTGAGGAAGACTAGCCCTGAGCTCATATCCCCCTGCCCATCTTCCTCTCCTTTATATGTGGGACGCCTACCACAGCATGGTGTGCCAAGCAGTGCCATGTCGGCACCGGGGATCCGAACTGGTGAGCCCCGGGCCACCGAAGCAGAAGGTGTGCACTTAACTGCTGCGCCCCCAGGCTGGCCCTGAAGTTTTTATTTTTAATTAGAATAATTTCATTTATTAAACATTCTGCAGGAGTGATAGGAGAGTTGCTTTTTTTGCATACTGCCCGAAGTGCTACAGATAGGATCTGTTCCACACAAGGAATTTTAGAGGGGCCCGCCCAGTTGTGTAGTGGTTAAGTTCTGCTTTGGCGGCCCTGGGTTCACGGGTTTGGATCCTGGACGTGGGCCTACACACCGCTCATCCACCCATGCTGAGGTGGCATCTTACATACAAACAATAGAGGAAAATTGGCACAGATGTTAGTTCAGGGCCAATCTTCCTCACCAAAATAAATAAATAAATAAGTAAATAAATAAAAGAATTTTAGAGTTTAATGCCTGGGATATGAATTAGTTAATGGTAAAATAGTATTTTCAGGAGATTTAGTTCATATAAATTATGTTTCTTAAAAGAAACGTAATTTTTACATGTTTGGATAAAGCAGAACTCTTGTATGGTTTCAAACTTTGGTTTTAAATTTGACTTTTGTGCTTTCTGCATCTCACTGGGAGTGTGAATTTGACCCTACATTGTAGGGGCATGTAAGGTGAATAGAGTTTGTTGTTTGGCTAGAGTATTAGTGCCCTCAGGAAGAAAGGACTTGCTGAGTATTAGTCTGGTCATGAGGACGTTTTCTTTCTTGATGCTAAACCTGAAATATCTATTTCTGAATTTATAGTCTTGAGTAATCTTGAGTATCATTGTGATTCATTTCTTTAATTCTAGTCTTTACCTTAGTTTGTCTTTTCTTTTCCTTTTTGAGTATTTTTTGGGAAAACTAATTAGAATATTAATTTTTCTCAAACTGTTGTTTTAAAATCGTGAATTATAAAATCCCATTAAACACTCCGATTTTGTTTTAGAGCCTGCAGTAGATTTTTGCCATAACTGAAATCCGGGCCTCGTTGTGTCCTGCTTAGACTATTGTGGTAGCATCTTAACTGTTCTTTCTGCCCTTATTCTGTCTGTCCAAATGCGTTCTTCAAACATCTGACAGAATTGATCATGTCAATATTTTTCATAAAATCCTTTGTTCATCCTCTATTGCCCATAGGATAAAATCTAAACTTGTTAACCCAACATTCATGGTCATTCATAATCTGTCCTTAATTTACCCTTCTAGCCTCAAGTCCCACCGCTTTGTATTCCCAGGCTCAGGATAGCATGTAAATTTCACCTCATGGACTTACCTCTTTCCATTGGTTTTGGGTTATCTGTTGAGAAGGAGTTTGTCTCATGTGGGCTTTAAACATTCGTTAATTGATTAGTGATGTCTATCGTGGGGTGAGGGTAGAAGAGTAGTAGCACATGTTCCAGAAATTGTTATCCCTCCCCTTGCCACATGGGCTTCCTCACACATGCCATGTTTTTGTGCTTTCTTGCTTTTGCTTATTCTGTCCTTCTTGGTCTGCAGTATGCTGCTTTCCCTTGTGAAATTCTCATCCTTCAAGACATAGCTCATCTTCTCTGAAGATTTTTCCATCCTCTCTGGCAGACTTATTCACACTTTAGTGTGTGATACCAGGGCTTTTGTTTCTCTAGCTGCTAGAGCAGAGAGAGATTAATTTTTAAGTGGGTCAGTCTCCCCAGCTAGATTGTTGGCTCTGTAAGACCGTATATGTATTTATCTTTGTTTCCTTAGTTCTCAGCATAATGTGTGGCACATAATAGGTGTTAAATGTGTATTGATTTGAATTGAATATGATTCTTTCTCTTGCCTAAAATAACTGCATTTTCTTTTGGTTTTTTAGAAAATATGTTTACAACATGTCAGAGACTTAAGAATTAGACTTTATTATTCTGTTTTAATATACAGTTCAATAAAGATGAAATTATAAAAGTAAAATATATTTCGATAAAGATAAAAGGGATTGTTTCTGACCATAATTATGTCCTTTGATCTGACAGGGTTAATTCTTTATTAAAGCTATTGAGAAAGTTGACTAATTCTGAATGCCAACCAGTTGCAGAGATATTCAGTGAGAAATGAATATAGAAAAACCTAAGTCTTTAGAATTATGCTGAGGGCAGTAAAATCCTTCGAGAATAAAGGCTATTCTATGCAGAATAATATCAATATAATTTTATGTATTTTACCTTCCTCATCTTCACATAGGATGGAAGTCAGATTTTTCTTTTTAGAGTGTGTATTTAGTTTACCAAATCGTTGCAAGCCCAGATGCTTTTCAAGTCATTAAGTATGGAAGAACATAGTAGTGTTAAATACCTCTTCTATATGGCTGTTTTTGGTTTAAAACAAGGAAAATCAAGCTACAGGGTAAAAGATGAAGAATTGCTATATATCGTAAGCTCTGTGTATTCATTGCTCAAAACTATATTCCATCCAGTCTCTTGGCGCGTTGCCAGCACATTTTAGTTCTCTTACTTCATATTCTTTGGAGAGGCTGTTATGTAGCCTGATACTACTACCACCAATTTCTAGTTTTGCTACTTAAGCTGTTTGTGAGCTGACCTCACCATGCTGCTTTGAGAACTATGATGAAAGTTACAACTGTGGAATGATCTGTCTGAATAGTTGGAAGTGTTTGTCTTTGCGTCTTTCTAGCATGCAAGGAGGGACTAGACACAACTCTCAAATAAATATTATGTGGATGTTTCTTATATCTTTTTTTCATGAATAAGAACCAGTTTATAGGAATTTTCTTCCTTTTTACTTTGCATAGTAAAAGATAAGAGTATTTTTTTAAAATAAGAATTATATTTGAAAGTGCATATAAGTGACATTTAGCCATGCTAGTATTTGAAGGGACTATCATTAGAATAAATGTCAAACTTATTTTTATTAACAATAGGTTTGATCCTGACCCTGATGTGATGTCAGGTCTATTATTCTATTACTCTAATATCCTTTTGCTTAAGCATTACATAAATAGCATTTCTTATTTCCAAAAGAGACAAATTAAGCTTTTTTTTTTTTAATGTGGAAGGAACTTAAGTAGATTAGCCTTTGAAAAGAATGATTAGTCCCTTTTTAAAACTTGAACCTAACTAAAAATAACTTTGTACCATATTTAAACTAATTTAGAGGTATGCCACCTTCTGTGGGTATTTTTTACTTTTAAGGAACTAAGAATGAACAATGGTATAAATCTACCGACTAGATAAGTGTCTGGCAATGCAGGAATTGCTGTTTGGGAGCGGTGTTTCTA